CCCCCGGCCCCGACGTGCGCCGCCGGCCGCAGTGGGGTGCGCTGCACCCCCGTGGGGCATGCGGGAGCCCCGAGGAGGCTGTGCAGCTCGAGAGGCTCTTCTACCCCTGCGTGCAGTAACTGCCTCGCTGCTTTCGAGCTTACCTAGAAAAAAACAGAGAGTCTTATCAGAGAGGGCATGGGGGATTTATCTGTTAATTTTTAAATTTTCATTTAATGTTATAACTAGTCACTAATTAATGCATTGGGTTCTCCCTGTATACCTTATCCTACGTCGTTAAAGGATGGAGGCAGCTAGACAAGTTGGGCCTCGTGTATAACCAGAATATTAGCACTTTATGTAAACTACCATGTTATTTAGTATGGGGAACGTGAATGGTGGATTATACTGAGCCTGAAATTCTTTCTGTTGCAGAAGTGCCCAAATTATGCCGGATGGAGGCTGATGGGGGACCTTGCAGAAGTCATCTCAGAAGATACGCCTTTAACTTGAGCTCAATGAGGTGTGAGGAGTTCATCTATGGTGGCTGTTATGGAAATGACAACAACTTCAGAGATGTGCAGTCTTGTGTGGACCACTGTCTGCCAGAGAAAAGTAATGGTTGTTCCGAGTTTTTAATAAAATAGATGGTTTGAAAGTGATATGAAGATGATATTTTATTTGATATTTTCCTCTGGATACCCTTACAGTGGTATTTTTGAAGACTTCTGTGAAACAGATATTTATAATGTCTGCAGACTTTCATGTGTTGTTTGTCTCAGCTGTCTGTTACTGAAAGAGCAAAATTACTGTGTTGATTTAATCTTGTGACCTTAAATATGCCCATAGCTACACCCGACCAATCTCTTGACTTCTAGAGAAGTGTACATGTATAACCTGAAGGGAGATAAGGTCATACATTGTATTGAGGCAGATGTACAAGACGTTGTGGCTGTCGCATTCAGGGAAGTGAAATAATATAAAGCAGAAAGTGCCTTTCTAAATTTCAAGAGTAAAGGAGCAGTGTTGCTAGATTGCTTGCGTTTTTGACACTTGTCAGTTCAACTGCTGGTAAATGTTCTTTACTTCATCTGCAGTGAGTCTTCACTGTCTCTGTACAAACTGTTAAGAAAGAGAGGTAGTATCCGAAAGCAGGTGACTGTATCTAAACATTGTCATAAACACCAGACTAATATCCAGTGCAAGACATTGTCTTTGAAGAAGAGAGAGCTACCAGGATGCATCAGAACTGCCTAAGATTTATTAGTGCTTGGTGAGACAAGTTATTTTTGGTTGATGACAGATTGACACCATTTTCTTAGATGAAAACTAAATTATTTTTAGTTTCCTTTTCGCATGTGCAATGAATTGTTTAAAGGTTTCCAGCAACAAAAGTAAAATTTTTTTAAGACAAAAGGTAGCATGATTCTTGTGAGGAAAATGGTGGGTTTTGCAGTTTTTGCTGCAAGAGATATATTTATAGACAAGATTTGCTATTAAAATCATAGAAAGGATAAATAAAATGCTACCTTTATCATCTACAGAGGTAGTTTCATTGGAATCATTATTATATTCCTACCTCTATGGAATTGACTTCTGTCCAGATTATTTGAACATCTGAGCCATCGAGTGTATAGCACCACACATGGAGAAAGCCGCTGAATTTCACTGGTGCGCTAGTAATACTATTTTGGGGATTGTCTGTTGCTGTCTGAATTCCTGACTGAATGGAATAAGATGTAGTAAGTCTCTGAAGAGGTAACAGTCATGGCATTTCAATGGGAACAAGAGCTGTTTATCTGCAAAATTTGCTGTAGGGCAGATTTTAAGAAGCCAGACATAGAGATTATTTGATTTCTTTCTTTCTCTCTCTTTTTTTTTTTTTAAGCTGGTCCCTTGTTATGCTATAGTCCAAAGGATGAAGGATTGTGTTCTTCTTCTGTGACTCGCTATTACTATGACACGAAGAGCAAAACGTGTAAGGAGTTCAAATATACTGGCTGTGGTGGAAATACCAATAACTTTGTTACAGAAACAGATTGCTACAATGTCTGTAGAAAAGGTAAGATTTTGTATTTTTTCAGTCAACAGGAGATCAACCAACCCAAATACCAGTAACTGCTATTCAGAGTGTTCTTTCACACATCTAGGCTTTTTACAAGTGTATGGTTTTTGTATTATGGACTCAGTATTTTTAAAGGGCAGGGAAAACTATGGAGCAGCACTAAATCCTTCTGACAAGAACTGTGCAATGCGAGACAGTAAGACCGTTTGAGAAGAAAGTGCAGAGAAGGGCACACAAAAAAGTCATCAAATTAACTTACTAGAGGCCACAAGGAACTGTTCAGTACCTGCAGGAATCAAGGTCTCTTTCTTCCAAATATTTTTAAGAAGGACTAGAGTGGGTTGTGAAAATCAGCTTACTTTTTCCTTAGCATTTTAAAACAGTTACCATCTTCCCCTTTGTTCCTTGCTGCTTTTTCCCATTCCTGTTCCTAAAGATTTCTGCCTGATCCGTTCTGCTGAATCAACTGCTGGCATGGCCATGGGGGAAAAGGTGTGAATGATGATTGATTTTTTTTTTTTTTTGTTAAGGGTTTTATTCAAATCAGCTACTGGCTCTGCTTGTAAGTCAAAATAATTCTGCTTTTACCTGCAACAATATGTTCATACCAGTTAGTGCGAGGTTTAATACTCTAGTTTAATTAATTTGATATGTAAACCAATGGGAGGGAAAAACATGTTGATGCCAGGAATACTCAGGAACCAGGCTTTCTTTATAGGAAACAAAACAATATTTTAAAAAATTGATACTAAGGGGAAAAAAATTGAGGCTGCATTTAGCATGTGCCTTTGGAAAGAAAAAGCAAAAAATCAGATCCATTGTAAACATGGGATATGCTCCTATACTGCAGTATTTAAGATGTGTATTAAAAAGATTTAAGTGAGGAAATCTGGAAGTAACAGCCTAATTCTTCAACTCTGGAGGTGGAAATTAGTGACCTGAGAACTTCAACCTAGCCGGGATTTCACCCCAAGCACAGGCCTCAGAAGTAAAAATGTTGTATGCCAGTTACTCATGGCAGCAATATTTTTGTGGGCAACAAGTCTGAGTGTGTCTCTGCCATTCTAGTATTATAATGGAGCCTTTAATGGCATGCAAATTCTACCTGAGATGCTTGTGATTATCTAATTTGCATCTCTGGCTTCCTGGATGATGGTGGGGCAAGGCTCTAGCTCACCGTGCAGAGAAGGGAGGAAATTGCCTCTTCAGCATCTCACCTGCAGGCTCTGCCCCTGCATGTGCACAGCTGCATCCAAACTGACAGTTCTTTCTTCTAAGGAAGAAAGAAAGAAGTAAGGAAATATTATCTGTCTCATAACTAGAGCAATAGATAGCAAAACAGATCAGATAGATAGGTTATAAGCTTTTTCACTAATCTACAGATTTCAAAATTTGGTCGGGTTTGGTCAACCAAAGCCCATAGTTAAGGGCCTAATTAGTGCCAATTAATGTTGAGCTATACATATTCATTCTATAACTTGGGAGTGTCCAGCAACGTTAAACAGATCTTTAAGGCAACTTCTCTCCTTCTCTCCTGCTCCCATATTTCTTGTCCCTAATATCTTTCCTGTTACCTTTTTGAGTCTCAAGTTGAATTCAGTTGACTTTCCTTGTCTAAATATACAACTACTGTTTGAACTGACCATAGTTTTTGGAGTGAACGGGTATCTGATTAATTTAAGTACAAAAAATATAAAAGAAAATAAAAAAAACTTAATACACAGGACTTGTGGTGAAAATTAAAGCATTCGGAATTGACTGTATGGGCTCTGCATGTAGGAAAATGGGTAGCATAAAGACAAAGATTCAGTCTTGCACAGTACTTATATTCTGAACTGCACTTGCACATCTTTCATGTGGCCTTCCTAAGCTCATGCTGAGATAACCATTACTGCTGTTTGTGACCACTCTGCAGCTTCTGTGCGAAACCCAATTCTGTGCAGAAACCTAAATCATGTTACCACTTCTTTTTCCATGGGTATATTTTAAATTTTGCCCCAGTGTTGTTCAAAGAAATATAGTAATAGGTCTTTTCTTTTCTTTTTTATTTTTGCAGATGTGGAAGTGTCTTGACTTCCATTCTGCTATCACACTAGGACAGCTAGAGAGACTTTGATTCTTGTTCAGGAAAAGAAAAGCAAAGTAAAATTTCAGTGCCAACGGTGGACACATTAGAAACCTTACAGTGTGTGATAATGGGCCCAGAACATATTTTATAGCTTCTGATATGGTTGGTGTTATCTGCTCAACTATTCGAATAGCATAATAGGAAAAAAGCAAAAAACAAAATGTGATAAAGAGTGGTAACAGTTTAGTCATACTGTTTCCCTAACTACTTCCTTTATTTTCTTAGCAGGGAGTGAAAAACCAAGAATCAACAAGCCAGCAAATCTACTCCGCAGAAAAATGATGAGAAAACTGATTAAAAAACCTCAGACACATAACCTGAAGTCCTAAGTCTGATGTGCATATGGATGTTTAAAACAACTTCTTCTGATTAAACTTTCTTCTTTTGTAATACAGCTTCCACACAGTTTTATCAACAAATACATCAACAAATAGTTCTATCTTTCAGAACTGCTTTTTTTTCAACCTACTTTTTAGAAAGAAGAACTGCATGTAATAGAAGAAGAATGAACCTAAGTTTCATTCTTCTGCTCTGTTGTATTTGCAGTAATACTTTGGTAAAAACCAAATATTTAGATTTCCATGTTTTTATGGGGGAATGTTACTACTGCCTTGGAAGAATATTCCAAATGTTACAAATCATTTATGATTTGACAAATCTATAGTCTCTTAGTGTAACTAAGGAGAGTACAATGCAAGGTCTCTACCATGGATTTTTTGGCATTTTGTGCTTGCTAAAGAAACAGATCCTTCCAAAGGGGTGTGCCGAGGTTTGGAGCCCTGCCATTATACATACTTTGGCACTGTCATATAAGTAGACTGTCCTTTATAGTCATGTTCATAGCCAAGGCTTTCAGAAGCCTTTGTGAAAGAATTATAAACTTAAATCTGTCTCATTCCAGAAAAGGGAATTGGGATACTTCAACAAATACTCTAAAGAAGACAATCAATCAGTTACTCAACTATTAAAATATAATTGTAGGCATTACTTTTTTATGACATCTGAAATTTCCACAAAATGATACTCCAGGTCCTCACTTGGAATAAATTTCTGTTGATTTTTAATGGAGTGACAGTGATTCACATCTTCTGAGGATCTTGATATTTGTGTTTATGAGGGGCTGTTAAAGAACAGCAGAAAAGCAGAAGCTTCTGCAAATCTCATATAATCCCTCTTTTGAGGCATTATTTTATTTCTTGTGTTAGATTATGCCTCTGGTGATAATATTGCATCTTCTTTTATGTTCTGTATGTGAGCCATGTCTAAATTTCAATTATTTTTACCTACAATGTTTTCTACTATGAATTTATGACAAATATTAATAAAATATTTTTGGGAAATAAATGAGACCTTGTTCTGTCATATGATTTTATTAATTATCCTGAATTAGTTGCAAAGATCAATATGTTTAATGAAACTTATTATTTATTAATTATGAGCTTAGCAGAGTTTAGTTGTCTCTTAAATCACCTCCCTCCACTGAGATCTTTATTTGAACAAAGTCAGTAAATTGCATCAATTTCATTCATTTCCAACAGTTGTTACGGCTCAGTTCGCTCCATAAGGAGTTGTTCTCAAGGGATGCTTAGTTAAGTTGATTATCTGCTGCTGGGTCTCCCGTTTCATCTTGCACTTTCTGAATAGCATTTATGAAGATAGCTGGCTTAAGCGTAACCAATTACATCTGCAGCATTTCTGCTTAGAGCTGCAGCTATCCTGCTGACAATCAAAGCTGAACAGGTCTTCTTTCCATTTTATAAATATAGCCACTGCTGTTAGGTTGTCTTAATATCATTTCTATTTACTGAGGATGAAAACAAAGGCCTCTTGCTTCTGAACGAGTGAGATTTGCTTGAAATTACATTAGCTTTTGGTTAAAAAGGTTCAGGTGTGTCTTGCCTCAGCTGCATTTCAGAGACGGAACATGATGGGAAAACTATTCAAGATTTTTCTTTCTTGTTTTTTTCCCTCAACCCTGGACTTCCAGCTAAAGCTGCAAGCTGTGCTTGCCATAGTTTTTCTACAGCTAGATTCTGATTCTTGATCTCAAAAAAACCTTGTCTGCATAATAGATCCTGCTGTATTTGTTGCAGCTTTCTGACTGGGCTCAAACACACAACGCCATTTCAGAAGTCACAGTTCAATTTAAATGCTGTTTTTAACTAGAGGAGGGTTGCTATCTTTCTACAGTATCACTGTGTGGTATAATCTGTGGTAACACGCTTGAGAAATGGACTATTACTTCTTATCTGTCTGGGTGCTTGACATAAACACTTTTACTAGAAGTATTTTGGAGGCCAGATGCAAAAGTGGACTGGGGATTTAAAGGAGCACTCAGGGAGAATGGGGGACCTGAAGCCGCAAATCTGAGAACAGTTCCATCTCTCCTTACTTTTTGCTCTCAACATTTCCGAGGTGCCTCGTCACATATGATATATCCCGGGCAATTTGACACCAGCTAGCATCTAGACCTGGAAGGGATCCAACAATTTGATATTTTTCAGCTTATTTACCTCAGGGGCTCAGTGAGAGCATTTTCTATGGACTGGACTCCCTCCTGAATGCAGCAGTGGCCACTTTACTAATGTCTCTTATAATGTGGCTGCCCCACATACTTTCTCTTTTCTTGTATAAAAACATCATTCAAAATCCAAGCGCTTATTGCTAGGGCGCTCAGTGAAATATCAGAGGCCTGAACTCCAATTCCTTATCTACCTGATATCGAATGGGAATTGAGCCTAAAATATCTATAATTCTTGCAGGGTTCCCTAATGACCATGTTCTGGAGCACTGGGGAGACAGGAGGATGCCACGTGAGTTTCTTTCAATCTCTTAGTGAAGTTATTCCACTTTGTATAATTTGTCCTTCTTTCCAGGTAAATACCTTAATCTCTTATTTTATCTACAATGAATTTCAGCTGCCACTCTGCTGCTTTGCTTAATGTTCTTAGGTTACTCTAATATCCCTCCAGACTCTTGTGGCTTTGACTAAACTAAATAATTCTCTGTCATCTACAGCATTTTATATGACTCATGACTGACTTCCTTTTTCAGTTTGTTGATGAAACAATAATGGCCCAAGGTTGGGTCAACTGTTAGCATTTTACCATGCTGAAAATTAACGCGGCCTACCCCATCCTGCAAATTAACCTTTATTATAGTAGCCAGTGTCCAGTAACTGGTATAGTGTGTCAGAGAGCAAATTTCTGTTGTGGAGGAGGGAAGCAGTGATTATAATCAGTGAGATTCATCTTGTCTTGCATAGGTAAACTTCTACTGAAACTCATGACTAGTGGTTTGCATGGGACAGTCATACCTGCTGTTGAGCTTTAATTGCTGAAATAAGCAGATTTAACTAAACTCCATTACACATAAGGTCATTGTTCTCTAACTTTCAATATCAGTCTGTAATTTCTGTTCTTTTCTTAGCGGTGTGTTATGAAGGACTACATCCAAGATTTTATAAAAATGAAAATATAAACTGGTTCTTCATCCTGAGTCTGTGGCACCACTCAAGAAATTCAAAAAGAAAGTCATATTGCTTTGTAAAGTATTCTAAGAGTAGGAGAGTAGCTTCATCTTTCTTTACATTTCAGTGGAATTCAAAGCTTCATAAAAAGAAAAGAGAAAAGAAGAAAATCCGTGTGGGAAAATATAACTTTTTATAGCCAGTAGCTTAATGCTGGCAAGCAGAATTTTATTTCATCATATCTCATTTTAACAATAACTGGCTCTAATAAATGACTTTCTCATAATTTCATACTTTAGGAGCAAAAATGGCAATCAGTTCAGATTATGCTTCTAGGGTCAGATTTCTACCTGCTACAGATGTCCCCATTTCTATTGATTCTCATCAGCTACAGAGGTGGAAAAATGTAGAACATTTTACTGAACAATCTTTTATTAGACACAATGTTCTACCGTAAAAAAAAATCAGTGAACTTATGTCTTGGAACACATGAGAAAGATTTGGTCCCTAAGCTTTAAAGTCAGCTGTACTGCTGAGGACAGCTGTTCATAATCCAGACAGCGATAAGAAGTCTGTTCTATTAGATAAATGCAATCTAACTATGGTGATGCAAATCTGGAAGAATCACACTGCAGATGTGCCAGAAGAATTATTATGCGTTTACATTAGTGTTATTGAAAGCAAAATCTCCCCCATTATCTTTCTAGAAAGCTTTAAATTATTAGGCATAACCATCACTGCTGATAATTAGCACAGAGATTCTTGCTTCTGTTGAAGTGAGCCTAATTTTTCAGTGTGTGGTGGTCCTGTAGAGTGATGTCTGTCATCTGAGAAATTTCTTAATTGCTGAGGAGAAGGATGTTAATCGTAGTACATGCAGCTAAAAAAAATAAAGTAAACAAGAAGTATAAAAGGATACTGTCTGAGGTATTAGACAAGTGATGCCATCATGGGCTGTGATTCAATTTTGTGAATTAATGTCAGAGATATGAGCATTACCAGTTAATGTCTGAACTACTTAAAAAAGAGGATCCTTCAGATAAGTTAAAGGCTGATTTATGTAACGTAAAACATTATATCTATTATATGTGAATAAAACTAGTCCCTTTTAATAAAGATTCCCTTTGTACTGGCAACACTGACAGTAATTTCAGATGAATATTGACAAAATGGACTCTCTCTGAGATGCGGTTTATTAGATGCTTAACTCTTGTGTGTGAAGGATTTTAAACACAGCTTGAGCTCAACGCAGATCACATTTTCTCACCTGGCGGGACCCCACTTCAAGCTGATAAGCAGACAGTGATACGAGGCCTAATAGTTTATCATGCTAGATCCCTAGTAAAGGCCTTAACATATTAACCATGGGTTAAATTCTTTCATATATCCTCCAGCTGAGTTGCAACTTTTTGCTTAGTGAGCTTTCTTGGAGATAAGGTACTATTCACTTAGCAAGTGTGTAGAATCTGTTCTAATGGGATAATGCATGATTAATATTTTTAAGGCCTAGTGTATGAAAAGCAATAATAACACTCACAGTAATTAGTAAATGCATACACACTCTTCTCTCTGGGGTATTTTTCTCTCTGTGTGGGAAGTAGGATAAAGAAGATACACTATACCAATAAAAGTTACTTAAGAAGTCAAGAGATTAAAATGTGAAAAATATACTTCATTATCAAACTAGAATCATGCTTTCCATCATAACGGTAGTTATCAATAAGGAGAAATCTTGAGTTTTCCTGATGTTTAAAAGGAATCCTTTGTAAAAATGCCTTCAGAAGAAAGTAGCAAGACTTTTTTTCCCCTCTTTTCTCTCTAAGAGTGGAAGGAAAAACAGTGATGACAAATGGTATTTACAACTCTTACACAGGTACAGGCTGATATACTAGAATACGTGAAGTCTGTACAGTTCCCACTGTGCCAGCTAGTGGGACTCCACCAATGATTTCAACAGCACCTGGAGCAAGTCCACAGGCTGCAATAACCTCCTTTACATGCAGAAAAGCTGTCTTGCACAGTTTAGGGTTCTTCATGCAGCAGCATGTATACCTGCTTTGTCTGAGCTCTTTGCAAATTAAAAAATAAAATAAAATCTTAGCTTTATTTCAGTGCCCGCACAATTTCTGGGTGTACAATGTGAAAGTCTGTGTTCTCTAGCAGAGCAATATGTTCCTTTCAGTTGGGAAAGGACATATTAACTTGTTTCTTTACTCCAGTATATCTCCAAATAGGAGCAGAACCAAAACTACTGTTAAGCCCATTCTTCAAAACACTAGAAAATCTCTGTCTTAACATTAAAGGTATTTCCTTGTTTAGGAAGGAAACAAGGAAAGTTTCTTCTGACCTTAAAACATCTGTAGCTTTGACATCATTTCCAAGACTCTCCAGTGTTAGAGTATAAGGCAGTATGGAGATACAGAGATTGGTTTATAATGAAAGAAGAATTTCTGAATCTACTTAGTTTTGTTTAAATTCATCAGGTAGCTTGAATATTCCTTCTGATATATCAAAGGTTAGCAGATATCTAATCTAGGTGTCCCTTTAGTGCTGCTAATTAAACTGGGTTCCTTAACCAATCTCATAATAGCAATTTTGTATCTTTTTAGTCTGAGTTAATCTGAGCTGTGATAAAAAGTACATTATAAATTTCAATAAATTCTTATTTTCATGGAATATTTAAAGCCCAAACACCTGACAAAAGTAAACAGGTGGATGAAGTAAAACTTGCATCATTTTTTTCAATTTTTGTATTTTCCTTTTAATTTTGAAACTGAAAAAACAATTACAGACTATACTCTGCAGTTCTGCTGATGGAAAGGTGCTCTTAATCTCCAGATATACAATAAAGAGCC